GGCCTGTGTTTGGCCCGGTACCCGTATCCAGCCCAGGGCCTGCTTCACATTCATTTACACAGGCGGCCCAGGGCCTGGATTCATTCAACCAACTGGCGCAACGCAACTGTCTGAATTTCCCCGATGCGGGGTACCCTGGAGAATGAGGCCCGAAGGGCCTGTCGTGCCTGCCTTCACTTAGGGCGGCCGACCTTGTTGCAGATAGGGCCCCGTAGGGGCTAAGCGGGCGTAGCCTCGCATTTGTTTTTCGTATTTTATTTTTATTTCAAATTTGGTAAGGAATTTGGATGTAATGCTCAGGCAAATCTTGTTTAATTTATTTTTCTTCATAACATATCTTTTTTTCAGACTTCCTTTTTTTTTTTTTTTTTTTTTTTGGGGCCAGGCTCGGCCCGAATGGCCGAACGCATCCCCAAGGGGTCCCATACGTTCGGGCGTTCGGCCCGTCCCGAACGCCGGTTACCCTGGCTGGCAGTACCAAACAATAGAAAGATTTTGCAAAAATAGGTCAAATTATCAATGATTAGATTATTATAAAACAGATTAGGAAATTATCTATGATTAGATTATTATAAAACAGATTAGGAGTGGTTGAAGGATTATTGATCAGCAATAGAATTGTCATCCAAAGACTTTTTAGGAATCCCAACCATCCCACATTACGCACTAATGGAGGAGAATCATATCTTTTTGAAGTGCTCAAAATCACTCCATAGATAAGTAATAATTCCCCCTTCCTCTCAAACACAACCTTTTCTTTTCATTTTTCTCTCTCTTCCTCCCCCCCCAACACCCTCATGCTGCTTCTCCTCCTCGTCTTCCTTGTGTTTCTTCTTCTGCTACTTCACCCTCCTCCTCCTTGTCTTTTTTTTTTTCTTTTTGTTTTAATCTCCGCTGGTGTTTGTCACTTTCATGCTGCTCTTTCTCCTTTTCTTTGCGTGGGTTCCTCTCTCATGTTCCTCTCCTTGTCCTCATCATCATTATGAAAAGAAGAAGAAGAAGAAGAAGAAGAAGAAGAAGAAGGGGAAGCAGCCTAGCCCGCGGATACAATTCAGTGTCTATGGTCAAACTATGTTCTTTGAACTTCTTTCCCTTTTCTTTTTTTTTTTTTTTTTTTTGGGATAAGCACTTGAGGAGTCGCGGGAGTGGTCAGTCAGAGGGGTGGCAGGAGTGGGCGGTAATACCTCTCAGCCCCCTCATTGGCCCATCCAGGTGCTGAGTGATGTGACCCCTCCACCCACACCTCAAGCATTAAAAAAAAAGAGAATGATTGGAGGGGTGGTCAAAGCGATTTGGAGGGGTCACACCAAATCAGAGAAAAGAAAAAGAGTGACCATTCCATACCAGATAGGGAAAAGAAAAAGGGGTGGGCCCAAGTGATTGGAGTTCTTTGCTATCTTGTCTTCCCAGGAATAGACAGTGGTGTCATCATGCCTGTATCCGGCCTGAAAATCGGCTTAATTCAGATGTAACGACCCCGTCTTCTATCTGGAGCGGGGTGTTGGGGTGGGCGGGGGGAAAGGGATGTTCAGTTCAAGCACGCCAACACGATGGTGGCAAGGGCTGAAACTTGCCTTTTTGGGGGGGGGAGGGTAATCAAATATTAATAAGTTAACACCCTAGTAATAATGGTTTTGCTCTGCTAAGTTTATTTTATTTCGTTGTGAACATACATAGCACATATGTCATCTTCCTTTCCCCCCCTTCCCCCTCCCCCCACCCCTCTCTGACCTTTGCTGCTCTGGTTTGCCTGATTCTGTTGTCGTCATCATATATTGCAGGACAATGCATCCTCGCTCTTAGAGGCATGCCCATCAATTGCGTGCATGTCCCCTCGAGGCTTGACTGGCTACCACAATGGACGTCGTTGATCGATGGATTGATGCGATCTATGGATGGGATTAATGAGAGAGAGAGGGTGTGAGTAGGTGGTGCTGGGAATGATGTGTGCAGGAGGAAA